AGGACACTGGAACATTCCTTCCACGGATTTTTTTTTCCTGCCTGCCTGCCATGTGCAGATCCCCGTGCTAGACAGGGAAGCCTTGTTCTTCTCCCCTCTCTTTCCCCCAGACTTCTCCTTCCCAGTTTTCACATCTTATTTACTGAGTTCACGGTGCACTCAGCAGTACATGGTCTCCCGCCCTCTTTCCCTGCTAATGTCTGGAAAGGAATCCCGGAGCTCCGGGCAGAGACAGCTGTTCCTAGTTCAGAAGTCAGCCCTGGTCAAACTTGATTTTTCTCGCAGACAAGCAACCCACGACTACTCTCTTCTCTCTGGTAGTCACCCACCTCCTGAGACACGGCTGAAGAGGAAGGCTTCTGCCATTTGAGACAAAGAAGGGGTGAGGGTGAGAAAAGCTTGGGGGGAGGTGGTGGAATAGGCTGCAGCCTCAGGATAAATGGAGAGAGGAGGGAAAGGAAAGGACAAGTTAGAGAGGGAAGTCGCGAGGTGGCTGCATCATGGGTCTGAGAGATCCCCAGTAGCGACATTTCACCCCCTTGGGGTGGAAGCTTCAGAAAACTTTAAGGGGGCATCTCACTTCGGAGTACGAAGGTACGTATCCAGAGAACCATCTTCAGGCCCAGGGCCTCTTCAGAAGGGAGATAAATTCACTGCCGTGTGTTTTGGGTCTATCACACCCAGATTTGGAAAAACACAAAAAGATCACAAAAAGTCAGTGGAAGCTGATCTCAAAGCCGAGTAATTACTTACTCTTCTTTTAAGAAGATGTTAAATTGATTGACATTTAATTGTACCAAAATCGTTTCAGGAATGTGAGAATGTCACTGTTCAGAAGCTTTCAAAATGGGGAGAGGAAAGGATAAGTGATCATTTAAAACTGACGATGGTGATAGAACTATTTTTAAAGTGACATCTTTATGGAATCTGCAAAAGATAGATTTACGACGTATCGCTTTTGGATTTGGGGGGGTGGGGTTTTTTAAGCACATTAAAAAAAGGTTTATTTTTATAAGTTGCTAATGAAACTGGAGTAAGGCAAGAATAAACACATGGTCACAAAGTGAGATGCTCTCTCAGGTCCTTCAAATTCATGTGCATTTCAAATGTATTGCTTGGAAATGATGGGAAATCCCCTGCTCCGCCTGTATTTCTTGCTTCAAATGGCTCTGAGCACATGGGGCTTGATTTTTGTTTCTTTGTTGTTGTTTTAACTGCAACAGTGATGCTAATAAAATTGGAATTTGCAAATGTGATAGGGGAAAGATGTTTTGGATTTTGGTCTGTAACAACTAGCCAGAAGTAAGTGGGAAAGACATCCTTCAGTAAAGATGGTTTGCTTGAGTTGACTGAACCATCAGCACAAAAAAAGATGTGCTGGTACATCTTTGTTCTGTAGTTGCAGTGATGATAGCTTCTAAAGAGATAGTATGTGGGAAATTATGTATAGGAATAATAAAAAATGGGAATTTGCCATGACATACACAGGGTAGGAGAAGAACATTAACTGGTTATAAGCACTAATCTCCATCTATCAGGCACCAGTTTCTAAATTAGAACGTGAAGTTTATGCAAAAATCGTTGAAAGATCTGTAGTCAATAGGCTGTGTTCTGGTTCATCGATTGAGTGGACTGGCAGGAATAGGGTTCTTCCAATTCAAGCCGTCTGTACTCTTACGTACAAATGCATTTGGTAGCACTGTTTCTATTGAGAGGTTGTTTTTTTTAATGCTAGTGATAATTCAGGACTCCAACAATGGCCCCTGGACAAAACTCAGTCCCAGATGAGGGACTGAGGGGGAAGTGGGAACTGAACCTGCACAATTGCTCCCTTGCCTTGGAAGGCCTGGTATAAAATGAGGTCATTCAGAAACTTTCCCTTGAAGTGCTTCCAATTCTTGAATTGCCTTTTGTTTGGGAAATGAATAGCAAGTTGATTAAAAAAAGGAGACAATTAGGGAAGATAGGGGGATGGGGCTGGGGAAGAGCTTATGGTGTTTCTACAAGGGAGCTAAAAGTATGAGGAAACTTGACTGTCTCCCCCAGCGTGGTCCCCGTGATGTCAGCACTGTCGCCATGCACTTCGTGCCCACGAGGGGGTGCCCCCTCCGTCGACGGCCTTACCCCCCTCACTGCTGTCGAGAAGATCCTTGGCTATAATATAGCTCCATTGAACTCGAGTGTTCAACAGCGGCCCATTGGAGCTGTCTGCCAAATAACTCCAGCTGCCAAAACATGATACCTGATGGCTCATTACTGCATGAAAATTTTAAAAAGGGGCCCCATTGAGTTGTTTTTAAATTTTTTTTTCTTTCTACCAAAGCAGTGAAATGAGAAATTTAAGCTTTTCATCAGGTGGTATTGGGTTGGGTGTTTTTGTTTTGTTTCCTCAAGAGCTTTTGAAATTCGTGTTTTTAAAAAACGGCTCTTGTGTTATGTGCTGTGATCATGGAAACAGCAGATATGAGAAGTGAAAGCTACAATTGGAAGACTGTTGTGAATAACCTATGGGGTGTGTGTATGAGTATTCTGTTTCTCTCTGGCACCTACATCAAGTGTCTTTTCAATCACTGCATTATTGATGTTATTTGGCAGCCACCGTATTTTAATTCAGCTATGCTTCATAGGCTTTTCTGGGTTCACGTCTCTGTAGCCCATGTAGAGTTTCTTCTATATTTGACCCTGGTTTCTCTTCTAACTTTAAATGGCAAAAGCAAATGTGCTTTGAAAACTATGTTACACAGTAGTTGTTGAATAAGGCAATAACCTATGCACTTGTAATTCTCTCTCTATGACCTACTTACGTACTACTTCACCCTCCTTATAGTATGATTAAAAGCTGCTTTGAATCCACTATTGCCTCAAGGGATTTGAGGCTAGAATTTAACAAACTGCTGAGAAGGCTTAAGTCAGTAAGAGGGCTTCCCTATAGCTTCCTCTAACTAATTCACATGCAATTAAAGAGAAAATAAATATTTCAGAAGTGTACGCGTTAATGAAGTATTTTCTACCTTATACTACATAGATAGATACGCAGCTTTAGTCCATGGCTTATTGGAAACTATTTTTCTTGTTGATTAATGCACTTGTGTTTTGCTTCTGTTTTGGAGACCAATTCTGCTCGTTCTTTCTTAAAATAAACTTGTGATATAGTCAGTTCATTATATACGTTAGGGATTTATATAAATAACATATTGAAAACCAAGAGCATCCGGTTTGTGTTCATGTATCCAGATAATTACTTTATTAAGATAATTGAAAGAGCAACCAAAATGTTTTGATTTCAAAGAAAGCCAGCAGGGGATGGGAGTAAATATATTTGGACAAGGTTGGGCATTTTGGGGGTGTAAGAATTAATTTTATTGCAACTATTTCCTGATTCCTTAGGAGCCTAAACCTGGCTCCTCAAGAAAGGTGCTATTTTAACGATGCAGGTTAGTTTAGCCTTTACCTTGGAATTAGAAGGTCAAAAGGCTGATACGTTATTCAGCTGAAAAAGGAAACCAAGTCAGTGAAGGATGTGTGGGCTTAATTGAATATTCAGGCCTGTTATTCCATACTGCTCAATCTGCCAAGCCTGGATTTAAAACTGGTGTGTGGATTTAAAGTTAAACTGTAAAGATCTATTTCCCTTCATAACAGCTAAATATAGCCCTCATCACACAAGAAATTGGTGAGAAAAATATGAAAACAATCTTTTCTCCATATTGCATCTGATTCACTAAACTGCTGGTGACTTAGTGGTTAACCCTCTGGTCAGGCAGCTGCATCTTCAGGCATCCCTCAGTTTGTGAGGACAAAGACCAGCTCCCAGCAGAAGATTGGGATTTTTTAAAAAAAATAACAATATAGGGCACAAGTCAGATTTTCAAATAAAACCGGCATCTCTGTCTATACCTCACATTTCAATGTATACATACACACTATCCTTACAGGATAAGGTATGCCATTACAACGTACAATATAGTGATGATGGCCATCAGAGGCAAACTATAAACTTCTCATCTGTAATTTATGAGGTTGATTCAGAACATAAAACGTGCCAGGAAGTCTTACATACCTGTGTCTACATTGTGAAAAGTTCACTTTAACTCAAATACCTAAACACCCAAACAGTGAGAACCATAAATCAGCATGTCACCATCTATGTGCACTCTTTATTTTCCGGAATTTACACAAATCTTTTGGAAAAAATTAAACTCGTCTGCGTCTATTCATTTGTAAGCGTTTGCCTTTTTTTTTTTTTTTCACAATTCCTATTAGTAACTAAGTTACGTGTCTTCAATGGGTACTTAAACTTCGCGGCCTGACACTCATGAAGTCAATTTGTTGGTTTTTAATCGTTGTGTTAAATACTAGGAAATGGCAGATTCGTGATTTATCATTTTAAAAGACGATGTGATTTATGACTGTTTCTTATTTTCCGTCTCTGACACTTCTTAGTGTTTTCGAGATGACACAAAGGCAGGACAGTTGTGCGGACACGGATTCGCCTTCTTAAAGCACTGCCTTAAGTCCCTAAATGTCACTTGGGCCACGTATCTGATATTTACTTTGCCTAAAAGTAATGAATCGCCATTTCAGCGATTGTTAGTTCTGGTGTCCTGGTCTCGCACTAAGGAGCCCTGAAACAAACCCTCCTGGTGACAGTCTCCTGCCGCTTGGGCTCGGGAGCGAGGCTCTAATCTGGAAGCTGACCGGGCTTTGGCACTACAGTGGCACTGACCCCACAAGTGGCCGCTGCGGCCCCGTGCCAGGTGCCATGGGGCTGGGGGATTGAGTGGAGCAGGCAGGGCCGGGCCCTGGGACCCCCCCTAGAGTCCGGCTGCGT